ATGGAATTATTATTAAATTTCAAATCAAAATCATTTTATCCTTCCTTGAAAATAAGGCATGATTAATTGGTATCAATTTTCATGGATGCTGGGGGTGTTAATCCTTCCTCACGCATAATCGACTCCTGAACTCAATTTTATTTTCGTAGACTAAAATTTTGTTTTTGATAAATTAAACTCGTTTTACTGTTTTATTAAAAAGATAAACTTTTAAGTGGCCAATCACACCTAACAAAAAATATTGGTGGTCCCAAAACCGTTATGACAGTGACTAGGATCTCTTTAAATTACTCTCAAACAATGATTTCAAGATAATGGAATGGAATATTAAACTCAATATCAAAATAAGATGCAAATAACAATAAATTGAAGAACTTGAAGTAAATATAAACAATAATCAAAGTAAAAAGATAAGGATAGAGAAATCAAATACAACGATTTGTAGAGATTAGGTCATTCTCTATAAGACACCTACGCCCTCTCTCTTGGTTATTTATACCAAGTTTCAATCCACTATTTGAAAAAAAATCTTACAAGGTACGAACATATTTGTACTAAATTCTAATATTTTTCTTAACACTTAAATAACAACCTCTACCCTTATAAAATTAAGAGGATATCTTACTTCTTACTTACAATCATTCCAAATGATTTTTGCAAACTTAAATGCCTCTCTAAGTTTAAGTGTTTGTCTAATAAAGTACAAAAAAATTGATGAATGAATACAAAAATATAGCTTGGATACAAGAAGTATAAAGATGTGAACTTAAAAACACTAATAATTCTTAATTTCTTTGAGAGAATGGAAATATAACTTGTTTAATCTTGCTCTCTTGATTCCATCAACTTTTTGGAATGCCTAATTTATAGAAAAAATTGAGGAACTAAACCTTAGGGATGGTTTGGAAGAAGAAATGCCTGTTGGTTCTTTAAAAACCTAGCCATTAGAGACAAATTATGAAGGACTTAATCGATCCTATAATAGAAGGGATCAATTGGTTCATGCAAATGAAAGCCAAATTCCATCATAAAAACCACCACCCGAATGATCCCTTCATGTAAGGGATCGAACCTGTTTAAGGGGTGATTGATCCTTTACATAAGTGGTTGATTCTTTTTTGCTTTTTGAAACCAAAATTTTTTTTTGGCCAAAATTCTTTTAAAAGAGGATTGATCTTGTCCTTCAAAACCTAGACCCAATCGATCTTTTAGTTTAAGAGATCAATTGGTTTTATTGAAAAATAAACTTGGAAACATTTTGGATGAAAAATCAATCAACCCTATGCAATAGGGGATTGATCTTGTAACCTAGGGGATCGATCACTTCTTTCCCAACTTGCATAAAAACATTTTCAAATAAGGAAAGAAGTTTGTTTATGATCTAAAACCATTTTTCACTTGATAAAACACTTGCAAACATTTTCTTTTTAAGTTCAAAACATACTTCCAAGCTTTTCAAATCTTAGCACACCAAAAATCATTTTGATAAACAAATTATGTATTTAGTACAATAATGATAAAATCACAAGAACAATGTACTAAATTAATCTTTTGCAAAACCACAATCAAACTTAATTAGTTTAATGTTTTGTCATTTCAAAATATGAATCAATTCAAGACTAACAATTATGTATACATTTATGATTTTTATGTTAGATAATGTATATATTAAATATATATGTTAAATGGATATTAAATTTTTTATAATTTGAATATGCAAGTATTTTTTATATTAATAATGTATATGTTAAATATATATATATATATATATAAATCTTAACATGTAAAAAGAATTGAGAATGACAATATGCATTTAATTATTAATAACAAGTAAAATCCTATATTATTGCCATTAATCAAGCTAATATAAATCATATGAATATACAATAAGAGATTATACTGATAAATTATTTTAAATAACATGTATAATGATAATCATCTTAATAATATGAATCATAATAAGAGATTATTTTAAATCATATATAAGCTAAAATAAGATATTATACATTTGAAATTAAAAACCAACACATATTCTAAATAATTTTAATTGTTATTTTATTATTTTAAATATATATTATTGAGTATTTTGTTAATTGAAGAGATTTTGTTGATATATATTACGAAGTATATTTGTGAATTATTTTAAACAACACACGATTTAGATATTTGTAAATTATTTTGCTATTTTAAATATATATTATGGAGTATGGAATGAATTGAAGATATTATTATTTTGTTATGTAAGCTATTGTTTAATGTGTTTAGTGCAACATCACTTATAAAGGTTGGAGACTGGGATTTGGAGTCATGTAATTTACATTATGTAAATATGTAATAAGCTATACATTAGTATTTAGTGTCTTTAATTATTTAGTAATTAGTATTATTTAGCTAATTGTAACTTGTAAATTGATAGTTGTTTATTATTTTAGCTTTGTTATTTGTGTATATCTATATCGATCATTTCTGTTCATGTATATCTATGTTAATTGTATTTTTTTGTGTCATATGTAAATGGATTAATTATATATAATTACACATATTCATCTTATCGTACTACGTGTAACACATATAATAAATATGTTATATTTGTGTTTAAAATTTAGACACATTTTATAATTTGTCTGTGTTTTAATGATTTAAATCGTTACATATGTTAGGTATAACACAAATACATGAATTGCAAGGTCTAGTTTGGACAACCCATAAAATATGTATTAAATTTTAATTATTTTTGGATGTTTTTATTTGCAACCCATAATTTACTCAAAACACCTATTTTTTATAGTAAAATTATTTTTACTAAAATATCCACAAAATACACCTCATTTTTTTAAAATATTATTTTTAAATGAAATCACTTAATTATCTTTTCTCTTTCCTCTTTACACTCAGTTCCATTTTTAAGCTTACAGATTTGCCGCAAATCCAAAAGCTGTTAAAAGTCTTCGAATTTGCATATTCAAATGCTTTTAAAAGTTTTTAGATTTATATATCCAGAAACTTAAAATTTTTTATACGATATTTTTTTCTACTATATTTTTCTCAAATCTAAATGTACCTTTTTTTAATTTATCGGATAGGAAAATCCGTTAAGTTATATAATTTATTAGATATACCTTATAAAAAATGCATATTCAAAAACTTTAAAATTGAAATGAAAAGAGTAAATAAATAATTTTACTTCAAAAAATAGGCATAGTGAAAAAAAAAAAAAGAAAATGTATTTAGAATCACCCATTTCTTAAAGTGAAAAACTTAATTAACGTTGTTAAAATGACATTTAGACCCTTCAATACACTATTAATTTTTTGACCTTTCCGAATTTGTACTTCCAAAAATGTAATAATTTTTTCGGAAGTATATTTTGGAAAATTAAAAAAAAAATCAAAGAAATATGAACATCAGAAAATATAACATGTATTTCCGTGAAAACACAAAACCTACCCGAGATACATTCTCGTACTAGTGATCATTTTCTTTTACCACCAGATGTTTTACTCGATTCGAAGATCCATGTGCATCACCTGCTTATCTTGCCTAAAGCTCTAGATGTTTTACGAACGTGGAGCCTTCATGACACAATCTATCCATCAGCTTCCAAGATCCACTTGAATAATAGAAGAGAGTACAAAGCAAAGATATATTAAAAAAAAAAAAAAAAAGCCTTGAGTTTTACTTTATAAATAGTTAATTACTGGCGTCAACATCCTAAATATGAAATGCACTACAGCTTTTTTTTTTTTTTTCTATGATATGCATAATACAATGTAAAAAGCATATAACCAGTTTTAGAAGCTTATGTATTTATATTTTCATAAATCTTTAAAAATGTACGAAATCGTAAGTCTTTAAAATCTTATAAATTTTCATATCTGTAAGGTTTTAAAGATTTATAGAAATTAAAATCGATAAAATCTTTAAAACTTATGAAAATATAAATATGTAATATATAATTTCACGAAAAAAAATTACAAACTCAAATTCATTTCAAATAATATTTGACATGCAATCAACGAAATCTTATCTCAATACAGGAATTGGATTAGATCGATTAGCAGAAAATTATGATTTGAGGGTTTGATTAATGATTTAAAAGTTTAATTTGTTTAGGGTTTGAGTAGGATAGATTGAAGAATGGAAAAAAATGAAAATGAAAGAATTAAATGTAAAGGATATGTACAAAAATGATGAGAGGTAGGGATGTGGTATAATGAGTAAAAAAATTTAATTTTTATTTTAAATTTTAGGTGTTTTTAATATTTGAGTGTAAAAAATATTTTTTAGAATGTAAATAGAATTTTTCTTATTTTTTATGTAAAATAAATTAGACATTTATTACATATTAATTAAAATCATTCTCCATCGAAAATTAAGTTCAAAATCCAATTATCCTTCGCGTTAGTTTGACGCTCTAATGAGCGTCATGGTTACAATTGAAAATTACAATTGAAACTATATAGTATGTGATTTTTTGTGCATTTGGTGAAGAGAAATATTTAAATAAAATTTTATAAGTGAAGTTCATAAAATTTTTTTAAATAATTATAATATATTTTTTAAAATACATTTTTGAAAAATTGTATTGCTTTTGAAAAATGAATTTTTGATATAATTATAATCAACATTTTCATTTTATTAAATTTAAATTATAAGTAATATTTTTAATAATTTTATTACATATTATTTATTTTTTATGTATTATTAATTTTTATTAAATTATTTTTAAAAAAAATTGTAAACTTTTATTTAAAAATTTTAATGAAGTTTTTTTCTTTGGTTGAAGCAATTTATTCATAGATTCCCTTTCTTTTATTATTTTCTTTAGCAGAAAAGGCAAAGCTGTCGGTAAAGTCGTGGCCAATGGAAGCCTTCTTTCTTGTAGACCCAAAAAAGTTGACGTGGACAATCGAGAAGGGCAGACCATTAAAAGTGACGTGCCCTTATTTGACCTTCTTGATTGTCAACCATCAAAACTTTTATGTCTTGTTGATCAATAAGAATACAGATAAAAGAATATATTAGAAATATATTCACACATTTTCGGGTCTATAAATCAATCACTCATTTTTTTGAAGAATCAAATTCATAACTACATTTCATTTCTTTTTATTTACAATCAATTTTGAACCCCAAACTATCCATTTGGCTGAACCAAAAAAGCAAAAAAAAAAAAATGTGGATGGGTTTTTTAAGCTTATGTTTTAGCTCAAATGAATGAAGGAATCCTTCTATTTTGAAGCAAACATCTCACTGCCTAGAGTAATAGTCTTCACCCGTCGGTGTTGTTAGCGCCATCTCTTTGTCATGAATGTGTTCAAGCTCAAGCGCAACTTTGTCCATTTTTGGCCTGCATTTTGCTGTAAAAGTCTTGCATTGTAGTGTCACCCTGATCAAATCTCTCCTTCCTTCCATGCTGAAGCTTCCAACTATCGACGATCCACAAACTTGTTTGAACTCAATCGCGACCGAACCTTCAAATACTTCATAGACAAAACAAACAGACTTCAGTTATGGATTGTCTTTTTTTATATCTGAAGTGATAGGCGTATGCAAAATCGAGTTAATATTGACAAAAAAAAACACACGCACACACGTACACATTTTACTACCAGCAAAAATATACTTTAGCCAATTTTACTATGTGTGGAAAGCCACATTTTTACAGGAATATGTAAAAGGAAATTATCATTTTAACCGCATACTTCCATTTTGTTTTGTTTTTTTTTTTTTTCTTTTGAATTTTTTAGGATAAGTAAACACCCGATCAACCCCAGTTTTCATAATTGAACAATAGAACAAGTTCAGAAAATCCTTCAACTTCTAAACAAAGCATAGGTTGAGTCCTTAAAAATGATAACCAAGGGTTGTAAGACCAAGCCCGTAAGTCCTCCACGGTAATGACTCAGAAACTTCCAAAGACAATCTAAGTTCTAAGCATAAATGTTCTCTGAGCTCAGCTGCATAAGGACATTTCGAGACAACATTGACATATAAGAATATGGAATTACGAATAACAAAAGTTAATTAAGAACTCCTGGGCCTTTTTTTTTTCTTTTAATGGAGAACAAGCTTGAATTTAGATTATCTATCTACATCAAGACAAATACATAAAAAGGGTCACTTGAGTTCAAGAAGATTAAAGACACATGCTTATAAATTCCACAAATTATGTGGAAAAAAAAAAAAAAGAAAAAAGGGAACTGCATGCCTTGAAAAAGCTTAGCCTGGTAGTTGGAAAAAATAACGGAGATGAATACAGGAAACCACCATAATGTCTTCACAATTAGTTTTACATTTGAATGACTGCCAAAAGCCGAACTCTCCATCCTGAATCAGCAGACCTTTTTTAATTCCCCTTAAGATCCACAGCAACTCGACTTTTGAGCAGCTTGACCGTTACTTGCTGCAGGGTCTTGCTGATTAATTCTAAGCGTCATGGGCTGTAACCACAAACAAAGACAAGGCATCCATCATTTTGACCAAGAAGCAGTCGAACCAAATACAATATTACCATTTGAGGTGCCATTGACATGGTTACTCAAGGTGTAATGAAAAATAAAAATTCCATAGAAGAGAGAATACCTCAGCCCTATTATCAGATTCTGCAAGCCTTTGCTTAATGTCACAGGCTATTGAAAAGAAAACCTCCTCCACATTCAAATTTGTTTTTGCACTCTGCAGAATACATTTTTTTTATATTAACCAATAATAATCAACAGCATTACAATAGAAAAGATCCAGTCAGCAGCAAACATGCAACTTACAGTTTCAAAGAACTTAATACCATACTCGTCAGCAAGTGCTTGACCCTTGGAGGTCGGCACAGCCTGGGAAAGAAAAGATCAGTTCCAATTATTACTGGCGAAATGTGTCTGGCTTGTGTGTATATATAGGAGGAATAAGGAGACCTAGCCTTTTAGGGCAAGAATTATAGAATATAGATTAACCCACAACTCATTGTTTGTCACACATTAAAGAGTGAGCGTGCATGGACTACAAGAAGCAAAGTCAGTAATACAAGTCATGCAACAAAGAAGGGGTTGCCTGCTGAATTAATGGACCCACAATCTAACCCACCAACATAAACAAGATAAGCAATTTCTATAAAAAAATCATAAAGGTACAGTCTTACCCTTTTGCTCTCATCCATGTCAGCCTTGTTTCCAACCAGTACCTTGTTGACATTGTCCGAAGCATGTTGTTCAATATTGCGAATCCAGTTCCTAATATCTGAAAATGAACAGAAGCTGGCTTTATAAGACTAGCAAGAGATGTAGAAGCCACTGTAAGAACTCCATTCCAACAGAGAGAGATCCAAAGCCATCCGCCCAAACAAAAGTAGGGATGAGGAGTATCAACTATAAACTAATTTCACTGCCTAACCCAATGACAGATACAAGCATAAAAATGATGGAAATAATCCAACAACAAAGGCTTATCAATCCATCCAAATTGACAATTTCACCTGTAGAAATATCAGGATCTTGTTATAAAATCTAAACTGTTAAATATTAACAGATTTGGATTTTTAGGTGATTAGGTTGTAAGGTAGATATGAAATTTAAATTTTAGTCTATTTAAATCCTTGTAATTCTCATGTTAATCAATAAAAAGTTATCTTCTCTTTCTCCTCTATTCTGTTCTATTCTGTTTACATGTTATTAGAGCATGGGCATTTCACTTGAAACCCGTGATGGTCAAAACAGCCATGACCGGAGAAAAGGGCACAACATCCGCAGGTGCTGTTAGTGGAGGTGTTTCTGCCGTAAATATTAATGGATTTGAAAATCCATCTATCCAATTGACCGTTCACAAACTATACGGTAAAAATTATCTAGAATGGGCGCAATCAATGAAGCTCATGATTGATGGCAAGAGAAACCTCGACCATTTGACAGGTGAGGCAAAGAAACCAACTAGCGATGACCCAACATTGAAGACATGGAGATCTTAGAATTCTTTAGTGATTGCATGGCTTGTAAATTCCATGGAGCCAACAACTGGAAAAACCTATTTGTTTTTGCCAACTGCGAGAGAAGTATGGGAAACGGTTCGAAAGACATACTCTGATTTGTAAAACTCTTCTCAAATCTGAGTTGAAGACTAAGCTGTGGCATTCTAAACAATGGGATCGAAAGGTGACAGAATATTACAATGAGATGAAAGCACTGTGGCAAAAGCTGGACTTGTGTTCTGAAGAAGATTGGGAGTGTGCAAATGATCGTGTAAGATACATGAAGAGGATGGAAAATGACAGAGTATACATTTTTTTTGGCAGGGCTGAACAAGAACCTAGATGAGGTTAGAGGCCGAATTCTTGGCAAGATACCACTACCAACTCTTCGTGAAGTGTTTGCTGAAGTAAGAAGAGAAGAAGGCCAATGAAAGGTGATGTTGGGAGAGAATAACCAACCTGCTTTTGAAGCTTCTGCTCTCGCCACTAAGACCCAATCTTATAATCAATTTGGACAAACACGGCAGAATAAAAGAAACAAGAAAGTGTGGTGTGATCATTGCCACAAGCCACGACACACATGAGATACATGTTGAGAATTACATGGGAAACCACAGAATTGGAAGCCAAGATCATCCAACCGTGAATCAAGAGCATTTCAAATTGGTGTCGAAGAGTAAGCGAGAGTCATAGAGACATCTCCTTTCAGTAAAGAATAGTTAGACCAACTATATAAACTATTTCAATCCACGCAATTCTCAAACAATGTGTCTTCCTCTTGTTCTTTAGCTCAAAAAGATAATCATCTTCAAGCTGTTGCTTTTAATGTGTCCTCCATTACTAGTTGTCCATGGATAACCGATTCTGGTGCAACAGACCATATGATAGGTTGTTCTAAATTATTTTCTTCTTATAGCCTGTGTGCAGGAAATAAAAAAATTAAAATTGCCGATGGTTCCCTTTCAGCAATTGCTGGAAAAGGATCAATAGCCATTTCAATATATCTTATTCTTCATAATATCCTCCATGTTCCAAACCTATCTTGTAATTTGCTATCTATCAGCAAATTAACTCATGATTTAAAATGTTGTGCTAAATTTTTCTCAACTCACTGTGAATTTCAGGAATTGGACTCGAGGAGGATGATTGGCAATGCTAAGGAAAGTGGTGGACTCTATTATATTGAAGATGGAAGTACCATGTGTGGACAAGCTCAAACGACTCATCTTGGGCCAATCTCTATCTCTACTAACAATGACATAATGTTGTGATATTAGGTTAGGCCATCCTAACTTTCACTATTTGAAGTCCTTGTTTCCAGATTTATTTAAGAATAAAAATCCACCTTTTTTTCGATGTAATATTTGTCAAATTGCTAACCATCATCGTGCATCATTTCCTATTCAGCCTTATAAGTCCCCTAAGCCATTTGTTCTTGTCCATAGTGATGTGTGGGATCCTTGTAGAACACCAACAATTTCTGGGAAAAGATGGTTTCTAACATTCATTGATGATCATACAAGGATTTATTGGGTTTATCTACTCAAAGAAAAATCAGATGTTGAACATGTTTTCAAAAATTTTTATAATATGGTCGAAACACAATTTCAAGAAAAAAATTCAAGTGTTTCGAAGTGATAACAGGAAAGAATACTTTAATCAGATGCTTGGAACATATTTTCTAGAAAAGGGGATTATTCATCAAGCTCTTGTATTGACACTCCACAACAGAATAGAGTAGCAGATAGAAAAAATAAACATCTCTTGGAAGTAGCTAGGTCTTTGATGTTTACAACTAAAGTACCTAAATACTTGTGGGGGGAAGCTATTCTTACTGCTACTTACCTGATTAACAGAATGCCAACAAGAGTATTGAACTTTCAAACACCATTAAATATATTTAAAAAATGTTTTCCAATATCACGTTTAGTATCTGATTTATCTCTTAAAGTATTTGGATGTGTTTCTTTCATGCACGTGCATGACCATAATCGCAGTAAATTCGACACACGAGCTATAAAATGTTTTTTTCCTGGATACTCTTCAACACAAAAAAGGTATCATTGTTTTCATCCTCAAACAAAAAAGTTTTTTGTAACTATGGATGTCACTTTTTTTTAATCTCAAAGTTTTTTTGACACTCCTCTTCAGGGGGAGAATAACTATAGTTGTAAAGACTTGTTGTTTGAACTTGAATGTAAAAACATAGATTTTGTACTACAACCAGATAATATAATGAGTTTGGATTTTGGAGTTTCAAATTTGGAAGTGGAGCAGCCTACTTCATTGCCTATAAGTGAAATAGAAACTAGAACAAAAAATAACTCAAGAAATAAAGAGGAAGGTTCTGAACTTATTGTCTACTCAAGGAAAAAACTGATTCAAAAGAAAGATGACATCACAACCTTACAAAGCCAAAAATCTGATACGAAGCCACATCCAAATAACACAGTTTCTTCAAGTCCAAGTACCTCTTATGAATCTGATCCTTCAAAAATTGACATTCTTAATTCTGTAAATATTTTGATTGCTCTTAGGAAAGGTGTTATAACATGTACTAAGCATCCAATTTCTAAGGATGTGTTACATAAAAATCTATTGCCCTCTTTCTATGCTTTTAACTCACAGTTGTCTAGTGTGGATGTTCCAAAGAATATACAACACTCTAATTGTTCCTGAATGGAGGGAGGCTGTTTTTGAGGAGATGAAGGCTCTGGAGAAGAATGACACATGAGAAAAAGTTAGTTTGCCGGAAGGAAAGATGCATGTGGGATGTAAGTGGGTGTTCACTGTAAAATTCAAATAAGATGGGACTTTGGAGCGTTACAAGGCAAGGTTGGTAGCTAAAGGTTTTACACAGACATATGGGATAGGCTACCAAGAGATGTTTGCAAAAGTTGCAAAATTAAATACAGTGCGTGTGCTTTTGTCTGTGGCTGTAAACTTGGAATGGTCATTACATCAATTATATGTTAAAAATGTGTTTCTTAATGGTAACTTAGAAGAAGAGGTCTTTGTGGATGCTCCACCAGGATTTGAAGACAGTTTTGGGTCTAAAGTATGCAGGTTAAAGAAGTCCTTATATGGTTTAAAGCAGTCTCCAAGGGCATGGTTTGAGTGATTTACAAGTTCAGTCAAGAATCAAGGTTATAGCCAAGGACAAACAGATCATACAATGTTCATGAAGCATACTAATGGTGGGAAGATTGCAATTTTGGTTGTCTATGTAGATGAGATAATCCTTATAGGAAGTGATAATGCTGAAATAGCTAGATTGAAGAGATGCCTTGCAGCAGAATTTGAGATCAAAGATTTGAGACCACTACGGTATTTTTTGGGAATGGAAGTTGCTAGATCTAAAAAGAGAATTGTTGTATCGCAAAGGAAGTACCTCTTAGACTTGCTAAAAGAGACTAGAATGAGTGGCTGCAGGCCAAGTGATATACCAATGGACCCAAACCAAAAGCTTGGAAGAAAGACCCAAGGAGTGCCAATTGAAAAATGAAGGTACCAATGCCTTGTAGAAAAACTAATCTATCTTTCCCACACAAGGCCGGACATTGCATTCGCAGTCAGTGTTGTAAGCCAGTTTATGCACTCACCATATGAAGAACATCTCGAGGCAATATATAGAATTTTGAGATATCTTAAAAATAGACCTCGGAAAGGATTATTGTTCAAGAAAAACCATTTGAGAAGTGTGAAAGTTATGTGAGATGCAAATTGGGCAGGCTCAATCACTGATAGAAGATCAACTTCTGGTTATTGTGCATTTCTTTGGGGTAATCTTGTGACTTGGAGGAGTTAGAAGCAGAATGTTGTTGCATGCAGTAGTGCAGAGGCAGAATTTCGAGCTATGGCCGATGGAGCATGTGAGATGATGTGGCTAAAGAGAGTTCTTGAAGAACTGAAGCTAGAATCAGAACCTCCTATGAATTGTTTTATGATAATAAAACAGCAATCAGCACAGCTAATAATCCAGTTCAACATGATCGTACAAAACATGTTGAGATTGATAAGCATTTCATTAAGGAGAAGTTAGAAAGTGGAGTAATCTGCATGCCATTTGTCACCTCAGAGCAACAAACAGCAGACATTCTAACCAAGAGTTTGTCTAGACCTGGTTTTGAAGCACTAGTCAACAAGTTGGGCATGATTAACATCTATGCACGAACTTGAGGGGCAGTGTAGAAATATCAGGATCTTGTTATAAAATCTAAACTGTTAAATATTAACAGATTTGGATTTTCAGGTGATTAGGTTGTTAGGTAGATATGAAGTTTAAATTTTAAAATTTAAATTTTATTCTATTTAAATTCTTGTAATTCTCATGTTAATCAATAAAAAGTTATCTTCTCTTTCTCCTCGGTTCTATTCTGTTTACATCATCAATATCCCAAAAACAGAATTAAGAAAGTTGGAAAATTACTGTTGAAAGATGACTCGTCAGTAACATCATAAACCAGCAAAATCCCCATGGCTCCACGATAGTAAGCTACAGAAGCATGATTCACCAGCAAAGTCAGGCATCAAGTTCAATGGTTCTGTTGTAATAGTTGGAAAAGAAAGAAAATCCAACCTGCACAAGCTTCAACAAACCTGTTGTAATAGTTCGAAATCGCTCTTGACCAGCTGTATCCCAAATTTGTAATTTGATCCTCTTACCATCAAGCTCAATGGTTCTTATCTTAAAATCAATGCTGTTAAGGAAAATAAAACAGTAAATAAGAGAAAATGTTCAACAAAGTTATTAAACTTCTAAATCTTAGAGCATTAGATGAATAGATGCCTCGACCAATATATAATGCAGAGAAGTGAGTGGAGCAGTGTAAAGGGTTCAGGACCATCGCCATAAACAGTTCATTAAACATCCTCTTGAAGAGTATATACATATTTTCAAATTGAATCCAATCCATCCATACAATGTTGCAGTTTCATTGAAAGTAACCAAATAATGCATATCAACCTCAATTCTCCCCGGTTAGTAATGTTATTATGTCCATCTAATGCTACATCGTAAGTGCTCCTCTCAGCATTCACACTTCTAAAATGCAAAAATTGCAAAATAACTTTAACATATAGTTTTCAAGAGTTGCCGGGGATACAAACCCAATAGTTGTTATGAAACTAGTGGTAAAGGAACCATCAGAAAAACGTAAAAGCAGACAACTCTTCCCCACACCTGCATAAATTCAAATGTGAAAATCATGGTTAGGAAAAATCAAAGCTTGAGACCTTGATTACCTAAAAACTAGCCTGTTATTAGCCTACAATGTTGGAATTGATACAACCATTTTGCATGAGTTCACATGAGGCCACATTAATTTCAGCTATTACAATCAGAAAAATGAAAAGCTAATTCATATCCAAACTTTGCCAAAATAAATCATATCTGAACATTTGAAGTTTTATTTTAAAGATAAATTGATAGAAAAATAGCTTTTAATGCATGAAGTGAAATGCAGGATCAATATTCATCATTATAAGAAAGCACAAGGATTGTTAGGCTAGGGTGGAAGGTGCAGTTGCAGATGGTAAAGCCTAATATCTACCACATGGAGAGTTCTGCAACCATGCTGTTCAATGCACGTTAGCATACACTGTTTTCTCCCAGGTGTACAGTGAACTACTCCAAACTGGAGATACAAATGAACTAACGTGTTGAAGGCTATTCGAGTTAGCTTGGCCACAGTTCAGCACCACAGCTTCTTTAAAGTTATGCCAAATTCAAGCTCAAGTATGAGATTACATAATCATTCCCTTTAAACTTGTAAGCCCAGCCATACAAAGCATGCCTCTTTATGTTAAATCAAATAAAATTGGCAATATAACAAAAACAATTCTATTTCCTACCCTGCATCAGATTCAGATCAAGTTTCAAAGCTTCCTACCATCAAGTTTTCCACGCCATAGCCCAACAAATGATCCATATGCAAGTGTCAGCATCAAGATTCTATATCACAGAATCTATGATTAAAAAATTCAATAAAAGCTTGTCCCCAACTTTTACCCCACCAAAACTCCTGTCCCGGGTATATCAACACAGTCCAGCTAATTCCCATTTCTGCAGACTAAACATTTGCTATAGAATTCTAAAACAGGCCCACAATCAAAAACCATTCACACTTAACATAGCTCATAACCCACGTGCAAACTTGTAAAAAATTACTCATAAAAAATTCACTGAAAAAATCCACTATTCAGTGATCAGAAGGCAACAAAACAGACCCTAGCTAATCCAGTATATGACACCTCCTATGTTACAATCAAACGAAGCCTCCTCCATCATCATCCCAATCTAAATTCACCTATAAGTCTAATGTTTCATAAAAATGTAGCATTTAGTATGGCCAACATCTATTTGAACAAAACCCATTTCTTCAAAACCAAAGAAAAGCTCAAAACGAAAAACGAAAAACCCAAAAAAAAATCTAAAATCAAAGCCATCACATCTCAAACCAAAAACCATATGGTATCTAGTCTCTTTCACAATAAAATCCTAAATGCTCATTAATCAAAACCATCAAAAAATAAAAAAGAAATCAAAATTTTCTCAATACCCTCGTTTCACTTTTCGATGGGTAACCAAAAAAAATTATTACTTTACCCAATGAAACTCACCACTATCACCAATCAAAAGAAGCTTAATGAGGTAATCATAATCAGCCCGAGCTCTTGTTGGTGGTGAAGCCATGGATTCTCAAAACCACACACAAAAATCCTGATATGAAATGAAAAATCTAATCTTTTTCTCTTACTTATCTGCATTCAGAAAACGAAAATAACATTCATTTCCACAATAAAATAAAACAAAACTATAAAAATCAGATCGGAATTGGGAAAAGCAAATGAGAGAGAACCTAAGACACACATACTAATGTTTTTCTTTTTCATTTTTCCTTCATATTCTAAATCAATACGAAAGGGTGATGTAAATTTCCTTCCAAATTTCCTTTAAAAATTACTCATACATTAAATGTTAATTTTAATTTTTAGTAAATGCTAAAAATATTATTAATAGCTTATACATTCAAAATTATCTCGTATATTTTGAAAATGAATTTTCAAGTGTTATAATATATTCTTGAAAATTTATTTATGAGAAAGTATCATAATTCTAAAAAATGAATTACTGAGAATAAAATATATCTCTCAAAAATTCATTTTCGAGACTTGTATTGGTTTTTTATAAATAAATTTTTGATAAATTAATTCAAGTCTCGAAAATCTAGTTACGAGAATATATTAAAATTTTAAAAAAATTATATTTAATTATAAATTCTTGATAATAAAAAAACAAAATCTCTAATACCAGGGCAATTGAAAAAAATCATCAACTCTCACATATGGGATATATAAATCCGATGGTAAAAATCTATAATCTTTTGGCCAAACTTTCTTATATTTCCAAAATTACAAAAATGTTATAAAAATTATTGAACGAATAGTGCCTGGTTGCCGAAAGATTAAAGGTTTTTATTAATAGATTTGTCCTACCTAAAAAACTAAGAACTTTGAACTTTCGGATATAGAGATCTAAGAAATATTAATTTTTCTTGAAAATGAATATCTAAGAAGTTTTTAAACTTCTAAAAAATAAATATTTGAAAGGCTTGAAAGCTTTTCAAAAATAGATATTCGAGAATCCTTAAAATTTTTTGAATATATATCCATATTCGAGAAACTTCAAAGCTTTTCAGATATTTATTTTCGAGAAACTCGATGTCACAAAGTAAAAAAGAGAAATGGTAGAAATGGAAAAGGTCAAAATGAGAGATGCAGTGTATTTAGTAGAAATAAGAAAATGAATTTTAATTTTGGAGTGTATATAAAAATATGGTGTATATAGTATTAAATAGGGTGCATTAAGAATTTCCCCAATATGAAAACAGATTGTCTATGGTAAGGTCACAATTTATCAACTTCATTATAAGATCATGAGATATCATAATATATCATGAGAAATTGAAAAAAATTATAAAAATAAAAAAAGAAATGAAAAATAGTAAAATTGGTTAAAAGGTCAACTAAATGATCTAAGAATAATTTTATTTATATTATTTTTTAACAAATAAAAAATATTATAAATTACATATGTTATACTTGTTTTCATCTATAAAAAGAACATTAAAATAAAAATTCAACTATAATTATGTCATATATTATTTTAATAAATATTTTTTATGATTTCTTCATTATTAACAAATAACAATACTATGACAATAATTAATACAAATTTTAATATTCATCTTAATAATTTTTTATTTTTTAATTTTAAAATATCAATTATTTTTTATTATCTTTTTTAATCTTAAAATTATATTTGAGTTATTTCTATTATATATTTTATGATTTTATTTGTATGATTTTTCTTTCTAGTCTTAAAAATTTATTAACATAAATAATTAAAATGAAAGTTACCATTGTATCATTTTATTTGTATAATTTTTCATAGATACTTTAATTGCAAATTTTAGTGTCTTTTTATTAAAAAAAATTCAATATATTTGAAATGCCACTCAATCAAAATGTGACATTTTTTATTACTACACAAATATTTATGTTATTAAATTTTTAGGACTAAAAATAGTATAATAATAGCTTTCAAATATGAGAGAAATTTTATTAGGGGTGAGCAAACGATCAGTTTTATTTAATTCATTGTAAAAATTCAAAAACTAGTTTTAACCAACTTAGTATATACAAAAACCAAACCAACTAATTAAATGATTAAAACTGATATAAACCGATCTAACTTAAGTCAATTGGTTTAGTTAGTTTTTTTGGTTTGCAAATACATCCATTATCATTTTCATTTTAATTTCTTCATACTATAATGTTTGTTCCTAAAAAAAAAAAGATAAAGAAATCAACTTTTGATAACTATGAAGATCAAATGAGAACCCAATTGAGTAAAAAAAGAATGGAAAATTTTGGAAAATTGATTTTTGATTTATACTAAGATTTGTAATGATTGAAATAATGAAAACATTAGTTCTAAAATTCAATTCAATTCCTTCTCATTTCTTTTACTTTTTGGCTACCAAACAGATTATTCTTGATGAAAAGACAAAAAAAATTACTTATTGAGCCCACAATTCTATATCTTACTCTTTGCCAGCATTGAAATTTTCAATTTAACACCAATCCAAATGCTAAAAAAAATAAGAATAACTCATTGATCCAAAAAAAGGCTGGGTATTCTGACAATTGAATGGCGTTGGGCAGTGGCTAAAGCACGTGTGCCTTTATTTCCCTATAGTTTTAAAGCTTTGGTATTTGGCTTTGGATTTTTCATGTTTGGTGGAGAAGGAAAATAGTAAAAGGGATTTGAGAAAGTGAAATATTTTTGTTTATGTGGGTTTTTTGTTTGATTTTTAAGGTGGGTTTTGCTTGAATTGTGGATTAAGGAACTTAAAAGAATCATTGGCTATGGTGGGGTGGGTATGGTGTTTAGGGGCTATTGGGGAGAGAAGAGAGAAAATAAAAAATTAGGGAAAGAAAGAGAGAGAAGGGAAATAGGTATTTAAAAAAGTATTCTAAAAGGGTAAATATTATTTTGCTAAATATTTAATTATTAAAAATCAATTTTTTTGTTTATTTAAAACCACAAATCAACCGACTAAACTAAATAAACCAACTTTAAAACTAACTAAACCATTTAAATCGAAAAAATCAAATTGTTTTTCTTAAATACTCGATTTTTTATCGGTTTAAATTGATGAATTCTCTCCTTTAAATTTTACTATGCCTCTCACTTGTTTACGTTAAATTTTTTTGATTATTTATTACCTATTTTTCTTATATATTTACAAAAATAATAATTAGTTAAAATGTAATGTTAAATTACTGATTTAATTATTTATATTATAAAAATATTTTTTAATAGTTTTTCTTTCCTCCTGTTATATTTAGAATTATTATAGCTTTTTCTTATTGAGTTAAGACACTTTTTACACATTTTACATCAAATAATATGAATTTTAAGTTTTTTCTTGTATGTTTAAGTTACCAAAATTTATTATTATTATTTATTATATATTTTTCTTATATATTTATATAAATAATAATTAATTAAAACTTTACGTTACCAACTTAAATATGAATGTTATAATAATATTTTTGTATGGTTATTCTTACATTCCAATAAATTTAGAATTGTTAGAACTCTATTTTAGTGTGTTGTGATGCTTTTTACCTATTTTACATCAAATGATACGCATTTTACACTTATTCTCACTTGTTTATGTTACCTATCTGTTTTTTTTTTTTAATTTTAGTTAATTTTCTTATATATTAACAAAACAATAATTAATTAAAATTTACATTGCTTACTTAATTATTTATATTACAATAATATCTTCTTATGATTATTTTTACCTTTCTTTACATTTAGAATTGTTATAACTTTTTCTTAATGTGTGTTGTAACACTTTTTATTCATTTTAGGCCAAATGATATGAATTTTAAGAATTTTCTCACTTCTTTACGTTACTTATTTATTTTTTAAATTTTAGTTATTTTGTTTATATATTTACAAAAACAATTATTAATTAAAATTTTATGTTACCTATTTAATTATTTACATTATAATAATATTTTCTTCCAGTTATTCTTACTTTTCATTACATTAAGAATTGTTATAGCTCTTTTTATAATGTGATACGACACTTCTTACCTATTTTACGGCAACTGATACAAATTTTACATTTTTCTCACTTATTTACATTACCCATTTGTTTTTTAAATTTTAGTTATTATATATATATATATTTATAAAAACAATAATCAATTAAAAGTTTACATTATCTATTTAATTTTTTATGTTACAATAATATTTTCTTATATTTATTCTTACCTTACATTGCATTTAAAATTATCACAATTCTTTCTTATCAATTTTATGTCAAATAATATAAATTTTATGTTTTTCTTACTTGTATATATTACTTATTTATTTTTTACATTACAATAATATATTTTGTAGGGTTGTTCTTAGTTTTTATTACTATAATTATTATAACTTTTTCTTAGTATTTTATGATACTTTTTACCTATTTTACTCTAATGATACTATTTTTACGTTATTTCTCACCATTTACATTATCAATTTGTTTTTCAATTTTAACTATTTTTCTTATATACTTACAGGAACAATAATTAATTAAAACTTTACGTTGTCAACATAATTATTTACTTTACAATAATATCTTCTTATAATTATTTTTATTTTTCATTACGTTTAAAATTATCATAACTCTTTCTTAATATGTTACAACACTTTTTTTCCATTTTATGCTAAATTATGGTAATTTTATGTTTGTGCTTGCTTGTTTATATTACCAATTTATTTTTTAATTTCTAGCATTTTCCTTAAATAATTACAAAATAATAATTAATTAAAATTTTACGTTGCTAATACAATCATTTACATTACAATAATATATTATTGTGGTTATTTTTAATTTTCATTAAATTTATAATTATCTTAGTGTATTACAGTAATTCATACCTAGTTTATGTCAAATGATACTAATTTTATATTTTTTCTCACTTATTTACATTACAAATATATATTTTTAATTTCTAGCTATTTTTCTTATATATTTATAAAAAATAATTAATTGAAATTTTACATTAGTAACTTAATTATTTATGTTACAATAATTTCATTTTATAATTATTCCTACCTTTAGTTTCACTTAGAATTTTCATAACTTTTCTTTTAGTCTATTACAATACTTTTTACTCATTTTACATCAAATTATACTAATTTTACATTTTTCACACTTTTTTACATTATCTATTTATTTTTTAATTTTTAACTATTTCCCTTATATATTTAAAAAATAATAATTAGTAAAAATTTTACATTGCCAACATAATTATTTATATAATAATAATATCTTATTATGATTATTCTTACTTTTCCTTTTGTTTAGAATTGTCATAATTCTTTCTCAGCATGTTATGAAAC